AGGCATAAAGAATGAGAAACTAGAGTCATTTATAGCTAAATGGATGCACATTGAGGCCATACTCTTAAGTGAAATAAATAGGACACACGTGTAAATTCCGAATAGTTTCTCTGGTGTGAGAAACTGAAAATGTAAATAAGGGTTAAAATGATTAAAATGAATAATTGATAATTTGAAATAGGAAAAAAGGTATAAAGAGGTAGGGGTGAAAGGAGGGGAAGGGGAAAGGGAAAAAGGGAAGGAAAAATTATGAGAAAAGAAAAAAAAATGGAAATGAAATCTATGTAGATAGAGAACAGTGGAGGGGGTGAAGAGTGCACAGGGAATGGGGAAAAAATAAGAACCAAGATACATCATGTACAGGTACAAGCACCCGATGATAAATGTAAATGTACTGTATACCTAAAACGTACCAATAAAAGAACTTAAGAATAAAAAATAAAATAAAATTTAAAAAATAATATGCTTTTCCTAACAGACTGCTCCTCTTCCTGTGAAGTAGATATGTATATTGCATGAACCTGTAGTTATTCAAGATTAGGATTAAGGATAGACAAGGTACAGTAGTTAGTTACCTTAAAATATCCACTCCTAAGCAGTATTATTTTTTAAATCCTTTCACCCTGTCTATCTCCCTGTCCATGGCCTCCTCTCCTCCAGTTGGGAGGCACTCCACCACAAGCTCTTCACATGCAAGGCAATGTGCCATGCCTTGAGCCTTCACCATCATGTCCATGCACTGTGTACAGATGCCAAAACTCTTAAGGTGCAATGTTGAACTCTTAAATAGTAGCCATGACATCAATCAGCCCCAAACTGGTACGCAATGCATAGTACAAGGAATATGTTTGCATTGGGGGGGGAATTTTGTCATATTTCTTAAAATGCATCATGTTCCACAGCAAAGTTTGGAATCTAATATCAAGGCACTCCCTGTTCAAGACTGAACAAAATGACTTTGGGCCATGGAAATTATAGGAGATATCAAAGGATGCCCCTCTAGGAATTCTCTCTCCTGGAGCATCCCAGAGGTCTTTGGAGGGAAGAAGTCCTCAAGCCCCCTCTGTCCTTTCTTCCTGAGCTAGCCTCAACTGGGAGAAAGACCTAGTGCCCTGATAGAGGTGGGGCATACACTCCTGGAGCAAAAAGACACTGCTGAACTTGTAACCCAACATCACATCAGTGCGGTAAGAAGGAACCAAAGCCTGGCACAGTGGCAGGTGCCTGTGTCCCAGCTAACCCAGACTCTGAGACAGGATTACTCAAGCCCACAGCTGCAAGACTGGCCTGGGCAACATAGCAAAATCCTATCTCAAATAAAATAAAATAAAATAAACTCAAGAAGAAACCCAGAGCTCTGGTGTGCTGCCTCCTAGCCCAACCCAATACAGAAAGGGGTAGAGGCTCAACAAAACACCTATCAGGGGCCAGGGATTTAGCTCAGTGGTTCCACTGCCTGCCTCGCAAGCACAAGGTCCCCAGTTCGATCCCCAGTACCAAAAAAAAAAAAAAAGACACCTATCAGCTGGAAACAGCTCTCTGAGTTTCTCCACAGAGTACTGCAGGGAGTGGTTTCTCCATTCTCTTAATCTCTCCTTCTCTCTTCCACTCCACTTACTCTCTCTACCAAACAAATATTTGGGAAAATGACTCTGCTAATCCCAATCAGTCTAACACACCCTGGCCTCAGGCCTGGCACTGTGTGTGTGTGTGTGCGCGCGCGCGCGCGCGATCCCTAATGGATGCAGCCTGCCAGTCTGAGCCTTCACCAGAGCTGCAAAAAAAAAAAGAGGAAGCCAGTGTGCATGGCCTGTATGTGTGTTAAAGCCATTGGGTGCTCACTCTGTACCTGAGCTTCAAGAAGAAACTGAACAACCCTACCATGGAGAACATGGAGGGGGAGTCAGACTTGCAGACAAGGAGCCAAGATATTACTCTGCAGCACAAGATGGGTGGGCTTACCAGTGTTCAAAGAGGCCCGGAGTCCAATTTGGCATGTCTTCCACCAAAATGTTCAGGATCTGAACTACCACATGTAACAGGTGAGTGTGAAGTGTAGTGGGAGACCTGGAGAGGACTGATTTCCAGTTGGCTGAGAGAGTAGAAGAGAGAACTGAACAGAGGAATGTGACCTGCGCAGACTCAGTGCCCACAAGGTGTAGGGACCAGAGGGTGTGAAGGCTGTAAGTTCCACAGCTGAAATGTGGAGGAAGTACTAACAAGCACACTTGGTCCTTTTCAGACCGACTGACCCACAAGCACCGGGCTGCAGACCTCACCTTGTGAAAGGGCAGGAAGCTAAGGAGTGTTTCAGCAGCGACCTCCCCTCCAAGAATGGGGACTGCAGGACCTGGCTCGGTGGCAGCAGTGGCGCAGGATGAGCGGAGCGATGTCGGGAAGACTCTGCCGGTCTCTCGGCATCACGAACCGGCCGCCTTCTGCTGCTACTGCGGGATTCCCCCACGGAAACTGCTCGCTTCATCTGGGCCGAGTGAACTGCTGGCGCCGGCTGTCCGTGCCTCCGGCGCCGCACGGGGCCAGTCTTCGGGGAGGCTCGGCAGCTCTTCCGCGGGTCCCTGGCATGGCATGCACAGGCGACAGGCAGGAGGTGCAGTTGGCTCCAGAGATGTATCTGAGAGTCCCTGGAAGGCCAGGACAGCAGAGGCCATGAGCTCCGCTAGGCTCAGGACCCTGTTCTCTGGAGGTGGGGTCACCCTGGGCCCTGTGTCACCGCAATGCTGCAGAGAAATAGTGGTCCTAGGCCCAAGTGCGCTGCCAGACAGGATCCTGATCTCTCCAAGAAGCAGGATCTGCCCAGCCTGCTTACAGGAGTTGAGAAGTAAACCAAAGCAGACGCGCATCCGGGAGCACCAGCCTCACTCTCCTCAGGCTAAACCGAAGCACGGACAAGACTCTGTCCTCCCCCTAAGTCTCCTCCAGTCCCAAGCCCATTGCTTCTTCCCCAGAGGATGGAGCAGTCCTAGAGGCAGTCATGGGGGCAGTCACCTGTTTTCCCAGCCTTCCAGTGCCCTACTGCCACGTGGACTCGCAATTTGTGGAGACAGACTAATTCCAGCCCCTCCTAGTGTGGGCGGCTGGAGGCACCCCATGTCCATTGGAGTTAGGGGTTTGTTCCTAGAAATAACAGCCAGAAATCAATACCTGGTAGATCAGGACTCCTCTTTTTGCCACTCAGCAAATCCTTTAGAGGGATTCTTTCCTTTATCCCCACCCCCTCTGCACGCACACAAACTCCTTAAAGACTGAAAAGGGAGCTGAGTGTGGAATTCAGGGAAGTGATGACACACACAACAATGCTGTTACACCTGGCTGCTGTGGAGCTGAGCAGCGGAAATGCCAGGGAGGAGGGGAGAAGAGATAGAGAGCCAGTCTGGGTGGCCAGAAAAAGGGGGGGAGACAGCAGCCCCCCACCAGGATGGGGCCAGACCCAGCTATGTCATGTGTGCCCCCCCCCAGGCCTGAGAAGCCAATCTGCAACAGCCCTAAACCTGACTCACTGCTCAAACAGACGGAGAGGGGAAGAAGAAAAACACCTGCACTCCTGCTCAGAAAGCCACCACAGGGATTTTGGAGAGTGCTGCTCCTTCCCCATGGATGCTGGGGGTGGGGGGCTACCTTGGGATGTTTTCAATAATGGGTGGAGGCCGGTACCTAGTGAAGAGAGTTCAGAAGAGCCTAGCTCCCTCTCACCCTGGTGGTCAGGCCAGGGTTGCCCTGCTGACCTCACTGGAATCATCTTCAAGACACTGAATTCCAGAGCACCCCAGCACCCTGTCATCCCTTCCTTTCATCTTGGAATGTGGATCAGAGGCACATTCAGAGAAGGGAGCAGACAGCAAATGTCAGTGCCCTATGGATAGTGGAGCCACAGGCCACTGGGGGCTCTTCAGGCTTCCAGAGAACTCTCAGACTGGGCAGCCTGGGAGGAAGAGTAATGACAGGCATTGAGCTAGCCACTCCAGACATGCCAATCACTAAGGTACATCTGCATTCAGGCCACCTTCCTCCACAAAGCATCCTGGCCCCCTCCTCAGCACCTACAAGTTTGGGGCTTGAGGATTCAAAACACCAGCCATCTCTCCCACACTTTATGATTGCAAACTTCTTATTAAGGCTAAGTGAAAAAGAATATTGTTAGAAGGCACACCTGACTTTGATGCCAGCACAGATCTCTTTGGACAATCTCCCTCCACAATATGCTGACGTAATCAGGTCCCAATCAGACTTCTGCTGAAGGTAGATAAGAACTCACTCCTGCACCTTTGGAGAAAGATTAGAAAAAATCCCTCATCAGGAGAGAGATTTGAACAAGTGCTTCCCTCGGCCTGTTGTTTTTTCTTCCAATTCTACAACAGAATTATATACATTTTATATATATATATACATTAATTATATACATCTATGAAAGATAGAATGAAAGGGAGGAAGGAAAGAGAAAGAAGGAAAGAGACAATGCCATAGCCATGAAACCACACTTACCTGATATCTGATACACATATATACCTACAAGTATAAATGTGTTATATCTCATAAATACAAATCTCACAGTTTGTATATGTGCATACCTGAGTTTCTGACCAACGCACTTGCACCTGGAAAGCTGGTAGCTCCCGCATCTCAAGGACAGCTCCTCCCCATGTCTTCCATACGTGACACCTGGGCGCACACGTACAGAATCCCCAAAGCCCAATAATATCCCCATCTACGTCGGTGCCAGTGCTGTAGCAGAGAGGCGTCTACTTGGTATTATTAATGCACACACACACCCGGGAAGGCTATTACGCGGATTTCGACGAGGGCTCTGGTTCAGAAGAGATTTAGGTGGGCAGCCCTGGGTGCCTCTTCCTAGCGATTCTCTCCTGGGGCCCTTCTGGCCCAGTCACCCTGAGAGCGGGACAGGCAGGCTGAAATTTCTTTCTCTAATGACACGCGTTTCTGGGCTAGTTTCCCCCCCCCCCCCAGCAGCGCAGCGTAGCTTTCCCCACATCACCCTAGCAAGGCCCCTGGGCGTCTTGCCCCTCCCCCGGCCCCAAGCTAGAAGTTTACCCCCAGGACCTCAGCAAAGGTCAGAGCAAAAGAGTCGTTTTCTTTCACCTGAAAGCTGTGAGGAGGTTTAAAGGGCCTCTCCTCACTAGGGCCCGAGCTCCCGGGCACTGGGCCGGCATAGGCGGCCCCCTCCGGGGCCCTCGGCATCTCCAGGCCCAGTCCGCAGAGCAAGCACCGGCAGATTCCAAGGGCTCGTGAGAGCGTGAGCCTGGCTGTCTGCTGGGCCCCCGAGGCTCGCCGAGCGGGGGCAGACCGGTCCGGGCTGTGCGGGGCGTTTACAAAAAGTGACTTGGAGATGAACTCGCCCGTGCGCGGCTGGCTGCCCCGCTATAGGGGCGAAGGTGCCTGACGCAAGCGGAACTCGGCGGAGCCCATACGAATCAGAACACAGCGAGGCTCCTGGCGCACTAGGGACTCCAGGAGGCAGCTCCGCCAGAGACGCGGGTCGTGGCTCGGGAAACCGGGGGTGGGGGAGGGGAAGCGCAGAAAAGAAAACCCACCGAGGCGGGGACTGGCCCGGCAGGGAGGGGCGGCGGGGCCGAAGCCCCTCTCCTTTGGGCAGACTCCCCATGGCCAGAGGCTGAGTTCCACTCCCGCCAGCCGCTCCCCAGGGAAAGAGAAAGAAGAGCGCGAGCAGCCAGAGGCCTCCAGCGAGCAGCATCCGCAGTCTCCAGAAGTTTGAGATTCGGCCGCGGGAGGACTTGTGCGCCCCGACTCCGCGGAGCCAGCGTCCAGCGAGGACAGCGGGGTGGCCGAGCCGAGGCGCGGCTCCTTTGTCATGATGGCCAGCTACCCCGAGCCCGAGGACGCCGCAGGGGCCCTGCTGGCCCCGGACACTGGCCGCGCAGTCAAGGAGCCCGAGGCGCCACCGCCAAGTCCGGGCAAGGGCGGCGGAGGGACAGCCTCGGAGAAGCCTGACCCAGCGCAAAAGCCCCCGTACTCGTACGTGGCGCTCATCGCCATGGCGATCCGCGAGAGCGCCGAGAAGAGGCTCACGCTGTCTGGCATCTACCAGTATATCATCGCCAAGTTCCCGTTCTATGAGAAGAACAAGAAGGGCTGGCAGAATAGCATCCGACACAACCTCAGCCTCAATGAGTGCTTCATCAAGGTGCCGCGCGAGGGCGGCGGCGAGCGCAAGGGCAACTACTGGACGCTGGACCCGGCCTGCGAGGACATGTTCGAGAAGGGCAACTACCGGCGCCGCCGCCGCATGAAGCGTCCCTTCCGCCCGCCGCCCGCGCACTTCCAGCCCGGCAAGGGGCTCTTCGGGGCCGGGGGCGCGGCGGGCGGCTGCGGTGTAGCGGGTGCAGGGGCCGACGGCTACGGCTACCTGGCGCCCCCCAAGTACCTGCAGTCCGGTTTCCTTAACAACTCGTGGCCGCTGCCGCAGCCGCCCTCGCCCATGCCCTATGCCTCCTGCCAGATGGCGGCGGCCGCGGCGGCTGCAGCGGCGGCAGCCGCGGCCGCGGGACCCGGTAGCCCGGGTGCAGCCGCTGTCGTCAAGGGGCTGGCGGGCCCGGCTGCCTCGTATGGGCCATACTCGCGCGTGCAGGGCATGGCGCTGCCCCCCGCCGTAGTGAACTCGTACAACGGCCTGGGAGGCCCGCCGGCCGGACCCCCGCCGCCGCCGCCGCACCCGCACCCGCACCCGCATCCACACCCGCACGCGCACCATCTGCACGCGGCCTCCGCACCCCCGCCAGCGCCTCCGCACCACGGGGCCGCCGCGCCGCCTCCCGGCCAGCTTAGCCCGGCCAGCCCGGCCACCGCCGCACCCCCAGCGCCTGCGCCCACGAGTGCACCCGGCCTGCAGTTCGCCTGCGCCCGACAGCCCGAGCTCGCCATGATGCATTGCTCTTACTGGGACCACGACAGCAAGACCAGCGCGCTGCACTCGCGCCTCGATATCTGAGATCCACTGCCTGCCTGCGCGGACGGATGCGAGGATGCCGGGACGCAAGTCGCCAGCCCGGGTCGCAGCCGGAGCCACAGCGGCAACCAAATGGCGCACCCTCCAAGGATGCCTCTTGAGCCAGCGCCCAGGACCCTTCTGTGCCTCCCTGCTTCCCTCACTCCACCCGCTCCTCTTAGTCCCCTCTGCTTCTCCTCCTCTGCTCGCCTTCCTTCCCTCTGTGCTCTCGCTTTCCCATGGCCTGAGGCCGCCTCTCCGCGCGCGTTCTGCAGGCCTCACCTCCTCCCGGAGCCCCAGCGCCTGGACACCCCGGCCAAAATTCGCCTCGGAGAAAACGCCCCGGGGCGAGAGGAAGCCGCGCCTCGGCGGCACGGACCTCCTGGCCTTCCCTTACAGGTCTGTGGCTCCCGCTGGGCTTTCCCCCCATGCCTGGGCTGGACTGGTAACAGGACCCGCGCTTTGCCGCCGGAGAAAGGGACGAACTTGTCAGATCGCTCTTCGAGCCCTCGTGGAGTTGCTCAGAAGCTGCTCGCCTTGGGGCCCACTGGGCGGGGCAGGGGTTGGGCCCAAGCGGGGATCCAGGGCAGCCGCTCCGGGGCCTGCTTTCAGGTTCACACCACAGCCCCGCTCCAGCCCCGCTCCGAAGGCGTCCGCATCTCCTCTGCTCTCCATCCTGTCGGCAGCGGTACCTCCAGACTCGGGCGACTGGCTAATATCTTGCTAGAAAGATCGGTGGGGCTTTTTTTAGATGAAAGTAAAAACTATTTTTTTTAAGAAAAAAAATATTCACCGGGAAAACTGGCGAAGTATTATGGCCTGGGATTTTGCTAAAACCAAACATCAAAATTAAAAACTTTGGTGTTCCTCATCTTTTCTTCGGGGAGATTTGCAGTAGAATTCCCGTCGGGCCTTCAAAAAGCTTCGTTCATAGAGGTAGGAAAAAATAACCGGTAAAAGATGATTTTGTCTATGAATCTAGGGAGTTTTCCTCTCTTCCTATCTGAAAAAAAATAAAACTAAAAAACAAATTTTCCCAGATCTTCGGGTATAACCCCCGATGCCAGAGATCCGCTGATCCTGGCATGTGCTGCAGGAACCACTCTCCCCTCTCTAATTTTTGTTTTTCAAACGTCTTGCTTCTCCCACCTTGGGAAGGAGAAATGTGAAACTCGGCAGGGCCTCAGACGGCCCAGGCGGGCTTGTGGCCCCCAAGCTGGCTGACCTGAAAACCTAGACCTGGTTGTGTAGTGTGTCGTTTGGGGGACCAAATTTTTTAGCAAGAACTAGAGCACTTTTGTTATATTTGTGTGTGTGTGTGTGTGTGTGTGTGTGTGTGCACGCGCGCGCTCGCCCGCGCATGCATTGTCAATTCCCCAATAAATTTTTTGGTTTTTTTCTTTTAACACGGAATTATATATTATTTTATTTGCGCCCTAGTTCAGCAGCTAGTGCAAACAGAGAACTTTTCAACAAAAATGTTGACCTTTTTCAAAGTGAACTAAACAAGGGTGGAGGGCAACCACGCCAGTGGCATTTTTGACTGTTGCTGCTGCTTTGTTTTCCTGGATATTGTTTGTTTTCTGTGTCATCGCTCCTCTATTTTGGCTGGTTAACATCGGCAGAGAGACTTTGTCTCTCCACTTTGTTCCCAAGGCGCTACTGTACAGGATTTGTTCTATTCTTGCACCCATGCAAGTTTATACTTTTGCCTCTTAGAAAATTATACTACGTGTATGGGCTGTGCTTACATTATTGTCCTCTTATTTTTTTTTTGTCAAGTAGCCTGAAGAGTTTGTCCTTGTTACATAAAATTCTGGAATGTACTGTCACCTGCAAACCTCTTTACAAATGTAATGAGTGACTGATTGCTTTATTATTTTTAATAATCAGAATTCATTTTCTTTGCGATATGAGTAAGAGATTAGGGGCTTTCAGAAAGAGTGGAATAGGCTGCGTGGCTATAGAAATTGATTCTCTTTTCTTTCTCTTCTGTTACTGAGATCTTCGAATAACGAATTAAGATTCAGACTTCTGCACCCACAGACAGGTATTTGACCCATTTGCAGTCTGAATCTCCCGGGCCAATTAGGGGTAGTTGGCCTTCAATAGGGACAATAGATAATCAGCACTCACTACAAGAGGCTTCCCAAGGCTGGGAGGCTGGGTCGCAGCTGGGGCTAGACCCATATCTAGCCATATATCCCCCACCTCCCAGCCCTGAAAACAATAGTAGCAGGTCCAGGTCAGCTGGTGGGCTAGGAACAGGTAATAAACTGTGGGCCACTCACTTTATCGGACTGGGGATCAAGCCTCCGGAATGTCAGAGTAGTAACTGGGTCCAAGGGGAAGTGGCTCTGACTTGGTATGCCCTCTCTTCTCTTTCCCTGGAAGAGGGTACTGAGTGGCAGAGGAAGCCATGTGGGCTCTTAGGGACTAACACTGAGATTAGGACTGGAGCCTGCCAGAAATAGGGTGAGCAGACTGAAGAAAGAGACGAAGCCAGCAGCAAGCCCAAGAGGCTGCTCAGCCCTGGTGTCTGGGTACTTCTGGCGGCCCAGTGCTCCACTGTCTACTGACTAAGGGGGGTTTCAGAAAAGACAGTGTGCTCCTGTGCCCTTGTCTATTCATGCTTTCTGTGATGTAATGTGTATCAACCGCTGTGTGTGTACAGTGTCAGTTGTGTACTGGTAACAGGGTGGGAGAGATGTGTGTGTATGTGTCATTCCCCTACAGAGAGGACATATATTTTGGGCATTGTAATAACCATATGGCTAACATTTAGGAAGTACTAACTGGAACCACAGTATGTGTTGCATTCATACCTCCTCATGATACATGCAGTTACGTTCAGAGTATTTCTTCTGTCTTGCTGAACAATAACAGAGAATATATAGACTTTACTTCATCTGGCGGCAGAGGCTCCTGGTTCTGAGGCTAGCTGTCAGCACCCCTCTAACTGCTATCCAGAGCAGGAAAAGCAGGGGAGGGCAACCTCCCAGGCAGAGGTCTTGGTGAGCAGGTAGCAGCCCACGCCAGCAAGGTGAGGAAGTTGGGTGGGCCAGCATTGAAGAACAGAGCCTCTCTCTGCTCCTGTGAGGTGAAAGGCAAGAGGAACCCAAGGCTGGGAAGCCTTACCATAAGGGAGAATGAAATAAAGGAACCAGTCGAGGCTTCCTTGGTTTACACAGGGATTGGAGGAGGTGAGAGAACAGAGACCTGAATCATATCCACTTCCTCACAGATGCCGCAGGAAGACATCTGTCTAATTCCAGCCCTAGGGCTCTCTCCAAAGCTCTAAGTTTGGTCATTTTCCCGAAGTGCTAAAAATTTGGAGCAATGGCAGGTTTTCTTAATCACTCATTTGCTTTCTTTCCTTCTTTGCACTTTGAGTTTCTGTTAGAGAATCTGATTTAGGGAATTTCCTGAGAAACAGCAAAAGTGCTTAATAGAGTTCCTGATGTGTAGTGATTCAGTCTAATCTAGATGGCCAGTGGCCTTGTGGATGCATGTAGACATGTTTACCAGTATATACTGTAAATACAATATAAATAGAGTTTGATGCATATACTCTGGCAGTTTCTGAAAATCCTGGGTAATGAGTTGTTACAGATGGTATTGAATGGTGTGTATGAGGGTAGATGTAGACATCCTCACAATCACCAGACAGAATGAGCCCTCTTCTTATGTTTACATATAAGTTCTTAAGAAGCTCCCCCACAACTGCTCAAAAGAAATGGGTTGGGGACAAGATGTCTTGTTCTCAAGGAGGCTAGGGAAACGTCTTTGCCAATGCAGTCCATGCCCAAAGGACAGTGGGAAGAGAAACTAGGGAGTTCCCAGGATGCCCTGCACCCCATTCCAGAAGGTGTCAGAGACCCTGGCATTAGTAAAATGTTCATTGCCCCACCTCCCAGGTTTGGTGGGCAAGAAGCCCAGGACGTTTCACCTGGTGTCAGGTGCATCCAGCCTTTGCCCTGTCTCCTGCAATCCAAGGCAAAGACATGAGCTGGGTGGAGCCCCCTGGTGGTAGGTGAAAACTGGGGGCTGACCCAGGCTTTACACATCCTGGCAGCAGAGGATGGACCAGGGAATTATCTGTACTGAGCTCTTCCCTTCATGAAGGCTTGGAGCACCTGAACCATTGGGCCGAAGTCTTCTCCCCAGGAAAGATTCTGCTAGGAAGTGGCTTGATCAAGCTCAAGAGCCCTGCAGGGTCCCCTTGTTTATCTACCTTGGTGGTGACCATAACCCTACGGCCCTACCCTGTTGGTCCTGCCTCCTATGGGGGAACAACCTCTTTTCCTTAGAGTAGCCTGTGAGACTTGTAAGAAGAGCAATGACTAGAAGCCTGTATCCCTGTGACGGGGACCAGGAGGATGTAGTTGGCAGGAGCAACCTTCATCCACTATTCTGCCTAAAGGACAACTTGAAGTTAAGGATTATTAAAACTAAGCAGGCTTAGTAACTTCCCACTTTCTGGAGAAATGAGGATTCAGGCTGCACAAAAAGAGTGTGAGTCCCAAGGACCCAAAATTTTATTACATTGGGTCTGGGGATTTAGCTCAGCAGTGCCGCTGCCTGCCTCAAAAGCAAATGGTCCTGAGTTTGATCCCTGGTACCAAAAAAAATTATTATATTTGAGAACCCAAAGCCATAGATTGTTATCCAGCTATCTTAGAAAACCCAAGGGGAGACTTGAGAGCAGCTGAGCCCACTTGTGTTCTCTGCTCTCCAGGTAGCACAAGTCCTGCTGTCTGCTTAGCTGGGCACTCGGTAAGTAAAGGTGTGCCCATCTGAAGATGGGAGCACAGGTCTAGGTCTGAGCTTCAGGCAGACCATGCTGCTGATTAGGCTATTTGTGGCACAGGCTCCAGCTTGGTGATGAACTATGACAAGCTTATTCTGAGATTTGGATGGAGGTGGCCTGTGCAGGATGAGGCAAAGATAGGGCCCTCTTGAGCTGGGAAGAATGGCAGGGAGCCAGATGTCCCCCTTTAATAACCAAATAACCTTGAACAAAATACAGATTCCAGTTTTCTCAGCTATAAAATAGAAAAAATGATAGACACTCTATACATGTGTGTATATATATCAGTATTCTTAATTTAGTTTTCTAATGTCAAAGTGCCAAGTTTATTGTAGATGTTCAATAACAGTTTCCCATCCCTTGTTAATGGAAGGAAGGAAGGAAAGGAGGGAGGGAGGGAGGGAAGGAAGGAAGCAAGGAAGGAAGTAAGGAAGGAAGGAAGGAGGGAAGGAAGGAGGGAAGGAAGGAGGGAAAGAAGCCTTTAGTAGTAAATCTATAGGGTTGGGCATCCTAACCTGATCACCATGGCCAGGCCACCTCTGTGCACCCCAAGAGCCCAAATAACTAAGCACCTACCCTGGTCAGGCACAGGCCAATACATCCACCTTGCCCCACTCTGTCAAGGCCCCGGGACTCCTTCATTCACCTTCTTGATTCTCCCAAAGCAGTCTTCACTGGTGTATGAGATTTTCTCTGAGAAAGCCCCAACTGACCTGAGCAGCAAACTAATCCAGGCTCTTGAGGCCAGTAACAGATGTAACTCAGGCTCTCTGGCCATAAGGCACCTCCCTTGGAGAACCGGGACTTGCACTTTTCTTTTCCTTTTCAAAAAGGGAGAAGGTAGCCACCCTGCAGGGGAGGTTGTGGGGGTCAACCTGTGGGCGAGGTTCCCCTGAGCCTTTGTGGAAAAATGGGAAACTTGAGGGGCAAACGCAGGAAGCGGGTTGGGCTGAGCTACAGCAGCAAAGGCGCCGCCCTCGGGTGGGGAGCAGGGGCAGCAACAGCCCAGCCTCCTGGGGAGATCCCATCGAGTGCCTCCATGGCTCTGTGAGCAGCAACTGAGGACGGCCCCTCTTGCCGGCTCTAAACAAAACTGGGGCAATGGCTTGGCCAGTCTAACACAGGGTGGTCTGGAAGGTAGGGTGATGGGAGGAAGTGGAGAAGCCCTTGAGCACCGGCAGAGATGCCCAGTGCCAGGCAGTGGCATAGGAGCCTCAGGCTAGGCAGGGAGGCCAAGTCTGATTCTCCAGGTGGGACTTCAGCCTGCCTGATCTTCCTAATTAATAATAATATCAAACTGAATAAACAAAACTGGCTCCTGGCTTTTCCTCCTTGTAAAAAATAAAACTGTCTAGGGAAGCAAACAAAATCCTGAGCAGGATCCCAGGAAGCTTTAATCTCAATGGATGAGGAGGGAAGGGGAATATGTCATTTGCTTTTTTTGTTTGTTTCTAGAAGAGAAAAAAGGAAATTCAACACATATTTTTTAAACTCTCCCCCAGCGACCGCTAAAAAGCTCTGAGTGTGAGCAGAGAGTCAGGAAACCAAGCCCCCGCCCTCAGTGACACCCGGGCCTTTGTCCTCTTTCCTGAAGCC